CGATACAGTGAATGGATAAGTGACAGAAATGTCACTACTAAAAAGATAAATATGACTTCTACGTATAGAAATAATGTCAATTATGTGTTCAAACGTGTTTGTTTACACGCCTAAAAATTGTAACTTTAGTATAAATAAAATTACAATGCCGATCTACTGTGACATTTTACCATGTTTTATTTCGTTCTTCAGATGATGGATACGAGAATAGGATATATGATATCTCAATTAGATATCAGAATTCAAGAACCGAAAAAAGCTACTGTGTGGATAGCAACTTGGTTAAGATATTGTTTATTGAGTATTTCCCAAAGTTGATATCCCAAGGAAATGGTTTGTGATTTCTACAACTCGCAAATATATAAGCTGTTCAAATAAACCAACCCCTGTCGTACTATGTGCTATGAAATTCATGTCTCTGAAGAGCTTTGCAGAATAAACCGGGAGATTGTTGTTTAGTTTCCAAGAGGCTGACTTGTCAAACATGCAATAGTTTCTAATCTCAACTTTGTCATTTGTCAAGCTAACTTGTAAATCACACTTTTCTATTCTTAAAATCATCGTAGATAGAATGGAGTTAATTTATGTTGTCTATTTTCCAATGTAATATTTCAACCATAAATCGCAAAGGACCTGTAGATGGTAATACATGTCTTTCAATCCTTAAGGTTGGACAGAAAAGGGCAATGCTTTAAAAAATACATCCTCATAACCTGTCAGACCGCGTAGATAGTGAGAAACGAAAACAAATGAATTACTATTGAATTATATATCATACATTTTGATTTTGTACACCCTGGTTTCGCTGGAGAGGCATCGAAAGGCTTTATTATCGGTTTGATTACTTTTATGGTTCTACTGTACTTAAAATCTAAAAGATACTGTTCCGTTTTGTATCCCTTGTACAATCCTTCGAACCGCTGTTTTCAATAATGCAAATGTATCGATACAAATGTTCTAGTTTCTAAGCTCAAAATTGCTACAATAAGACGAAGCGTCATATTTCTGTTTACATAATTTACACATAACGGTTTCTTTTTATGGGAATAAAACCCATCACGTGCTCAATCGTGATAAGATACGCATGTTCCTTCTAACTCCTCATCAACTTTCCAGAAATACAAACTTAAGATGTTGTTGCCCTTGTCTCTTTCTAAAACCTTCATGTAGTACTGATCCCTATAGACCTTTTGTATCGCAACGTCCCTATATTAATCCCTTGTCTCGTTCATATCATCAGATATATTATGGGAGGTTTGGTTTTCTCCATCAAATAAATCTCCCCATCTCCATTCGCCATACTGGTACGGTAGATAATCGATTGGCCTGCTATCAGCACCATCACGAGGGAAATAACGAGTAATTCTTGATTGAACATCAAATGGCTGTTTATTTTGGCTGACAGCTGATCTATTGTCTTCCTCGGACACTGATTATTGTACACGTTTATGTAATTAAATGGTGCTATCATTCCAGTAAAGACCTTCATTTTAGGTCTCTACAGCATACATTGACCCACTGTTAGCCTTAGGATGTAACAATATGCTGTGATGTAAATACCGTGGCTTCAGTCAAACTTGTTTAAGAATTTCGCAGTGACAATTGAAATCCTTTTATTCCTGTATCATTAAGAAGGTCAATTAAAGCATTCTGATGTCGCTTACATCAGGTGGAAAAATGGTCCTGAGAATCACGCTGTTCGGTTTTTGTGTTGAAAGTTGTTAATTTGTCAATGGCTTGTAAAATAACTATACTCTATCAATATTTCTATGTCAAATGACTAAATAAGTTATACCAACAGACCTAAGTATTGTAAATGATATGCCTTCTGTGATAATCGCATCGAACGGCCAATGCGCATGCATACTCCTGTTTGTCCTTTTGGTGTTTTGTGTCTCCTGTTTGTTTTGGTGTCACGCCATGTCGTGTTGGTGTTTTGTTTCTCCTGTTTGTTTTGGTGTCACGCCATGTCATGTTATTGTTTTGTTTCTCCTGTTTGTTTTGGTGTCATGCCAGGTCCTTTTGGTGTTTTGTGTCTCCTGTTTGTTTTGGTGTCACGCCATGTCGTGTTGGTGTTTTGTTTCTCCTGTTTGTTTTGGTGTCATGCTATGTCCTTTTGGTGTTTTGTGTCTCCTGTTTGCTCTGGTGTTACATTGTACGTCAGGTCTTGTTGGTGTTTTGTCTCTCCTGATTGTTTTGGTGTCACGCCATGTCATGTTGTTGTTTGTCCTCTTCTGATTGTTTTGGTGTCACGCCATGTCGTGTTGGTGTTTTGTGTCTCCTGTTTGTTTTGGTGTCACGCCATGTCATGTTGTTGTTTGTCCTCTCCTGATTGTTTTGGTGTCACGCCATGTCGTGTTGGTGTTTTGTGTCTCCTGTTTGTTTTGGTGTCACGCCATGTCATGTTGTTGTTTGTCCTCTTCTGATTGTTTTGGTGTCACGCCATGTCGTGTTGGTGTTTTGTGTCTCCTGTTTGTTTTGGTGTCACGCCATGTCATGTTGTTGTTTGTCCTCTCCTGATTGTTTTGGTGTCACGCCATGTCGTGTTGGTGTTTTGTTTCTCCTGTTTGTTTTGGTGTTACATTGTACGTCAGGTCCTGTTGTTTTTTGTCCTCTTCTGTTGTTTTTGTGTCAAGCTAGGTCCTGTTGTTCGTTTTGTCCTCTCCTGTTTGTTTTGGTGTCACGCCATGTCATGTTGTTGTTTGTCCTCTCCTGATTGTTTTGGTGTCACGCCATGTCGTGTTGGTGTTTTGTTTCTCCTGTTTGTTTTGGTGTCACGCCATGTCATGTTGTTGTTTGTCCTCTCCTGATTGTTTTTGTGTCATGCCATGTCATGTTGTTGTTTGTCCTCTCCTGATTGTTTTTGTGTCATGCCATGTCATGTTGTTGTTTTCCTCTCCTGATTGTTTTTGTGTCATGCCATGTCATGTTTTTGTTTGTCCTCTCCTGATTGTTTTTGTCATGCCATGTCATGTTGTTGTTTGTCCTCTCCTGTTTGTTTTTGTGTCATGCCATGTCATGTTGTTGTTGGTCCTCTCCTGTTTGTTTTGGTGTCAAGCTTGGTCCTGTTGTTGTTTTTTTTCTCCTGATTGTATTTGTGGCACGCCATGTCTTGCTGGTGTTTTGTCTGATGGATATTGGTGTCTCTATATCGTTTTTGATCGTGACCGTCTTGGGAGTTTTTTTTCTGTGTTAATCGTTATAAAGTAACTACATATATACATGTTACAAGTTGTGTTCTTTGTTTCAATGCGTACTTTTTATTTGTAAAGTTAAATAAGATCTACATTGGATAGGTAGAGGCCCCGATTGTACATTTCTGCTGTGGCGATCAATGTGACAAGTCTGTAATCACGATACGTAGTCGATATAGTTTTACTGCGTTCCGTTATCGCGTGTAGGTTCGTGTATACGGACCATTACTAATATTTCTGTGTAACTCTAATGCATGATTGATGGGACCCTCTGTCCTGATTCTGATCCAGGATTTCTTTCCGGCGATTCAAACTACTTATGGTATAAAACATGATCTAAGGATCTCTGCCTTCGTTAGAACTATATCCTAGTGTGTTCTGTCTTCTTAGTGGTCTCCAAAAATGTGATCAATCAAAAACATACTAACACAGACTCCCATTCAGTGTCTTAAAGGAAAACATATACTTGCTGTTGTGAATTTCCTCCCCGTGTTTCTCGCGCAAGGTTTGATCGATTTGTATATGTATTGTACTCCATAGAATAAAATGAATTCATTTCCATAAAAAACACTGGAAAAGGAAATTTGATTTACGACAATGACGGGTCTATCTATATGGAAATATTGCTTGCGAAATCTAGCATTTTTTATCTGGCGTATCTTTAAATTCCAAACATAGATGTAAAAAACCACTGCTTTGCATTCTCGGTAATAACACGACATCTTTTAGTAGATCTGTGTTCCACATAACACTAAGTTACGCCATAACTGCGGAAAAGTATCATATTGCACATGTCCTTTTAATGAATGACGTCCGCACGGAGCAATAAAGACGCGCCAATCATAATAAATACTTCTTGTCTATTTGAGTTACATGCGGCACAGACAAATATATTCACAAGGGGCCATCTGCAAATTTTATCAAAAGTATAAAATAATGATTGATTTTATTCTCGGTGCGAGCAGGAAACATCACAATGTTATGTTAATCGATATCACTGGATATCATTGTATCGTTGTTTAAGTACGAAGAAGGATATGAAAAATGACACCCTATCGGTGAAATAGACTGTGGACTAATTTAAGACGAGAAAGTCATTTAGGACGCGAGTACGTATCGATAGAGGTCATGTCTATTTACCTTATCAACAGGACGCAGTTTCTTGTTTACGGTTTTTCTATGGCAAGCCATCTTAACATTTATGCAAGGAGCAATGTCAGTCCATGTTTTATTTCGATTGTTTAATTTGATAAAACACAAGAAAGAGACTGCACTTGGAATATATGTTAAGTTGCCTTGTCCGAAAGTTCTGTAAATTACACCCTGTATTACATTGATAAATGGCTAGAGATAATTTACATAGCTTTACTTAGTATTTAACTTCTTGTGACGTTTGGAGGGACATTATCTTAGACATTATAAGTATGCTAGTCGTTCCTTTATCTTTGAAGTAACTTTAAATGTGTTATTTCCTGTCACTAATTTGAAATGTATATTTTATCACTTTTTTGTGATTTTATACAGAAACCATGATGATATTGCGGACTTCCTCTCCTCAGATAACTTACTAAGGGAATTACGGTACTTCGCCATTCTTTATGTTTATTCTTGACAAGTGTCATCCGTGGTAAAAAAAAAAGGCTCCTGGTGTCTCTTGTTGTCCGTTCCAGGCGTGTAGCGCTGGGTTTTATATAGGTTATAAATATGTTATATATATATAGGTTCTATTAATCCAAACTTTCTCCCCGTCATTTAATTTCCTTGTCACTAATAACAATATCATTTTTTGTAGATGCTGAAGGAGTGATGGATACTAACGTCACAGCCATATCTCTTGAAACAGCGAATTCAGGAGCGATAACTCTATTTGCAATCGCCCTTTTCTGCACTATTGGAAACCTTGGAGCTATGACAATTATTATTTTCAACCCGAGGTACAGGAAAACGTCCATGGCGATTCTGTGCCACCACTGTTTTCTTGACCTTCTGAAGTCGCTCTACTGTTTCCCATATGCTTACAGTTTGTGGACATCAGTTGAAATACCATACTGCAGTTTTATTGGATCCTCGTACGTGTTTATAATGACAACGTCGGCGTATAATTTACTGGCACTCGTTGTAAACGAAGAATACGAATTGAGTCAAACTGACGATAAAAACAAGAAAGGAGATAGGCCTTGTATATTTTTCGGGATACTTATCATCTGGTTCATGAGCCTTTTACTTAACCTCGGAGTAGCAATAATTCCTTCCAACACAACATTTATCCAGGCCACTGGAAATTGCATGTTCCTTTATGGAGTTCCGAACGGCTTTGTATTACATCTCTTATGGATTACTTTGGTTTCCATGGCGATAATTCTCGCACTGACAAGTTTCTTCCAAATCTATAGAAGAATAACTGTGCTAACTAAGGAAGCACGATGGAGCTATATACACAAATCCTTAAGTGGTGACTTCGAAAGTGAGGGTCAGCCGGAACCCGCAGTAAATTACCAACAATTTAAAAACGAAAAGTACCGAAAATCACATTTACAGTTTCATTTGAGAAGAGTTTTAATGTTTATTTCCATGGTAACGTCATTTGCACTGTTTTGGTATCCGTTGTTTTTCCTCACTATATTCGACCCCGGATTCAGCGAGTCTCGTAAAATGTATAGAATTCTGACAATTACTGCCTGGAGTCAGCCCGTCACTACACCTATTTTTTGTGGTTTTATATTGCGTGATATTCGGAGACGTGACAGCATGATACGGGAGCTATCCTCCAGTTCCTTCCCAATGAGACTGCGGGAGAGCAGTCGCAGAAACGGGCCAACAAACATTGAAGAACTTGAAACGTTTGACTTAGGGATTTCTAATGTTGATTTCGAACAAAGTGGAAGAACACCAGAGCACGAGCCCGTCACTGCTTCGTCACAGGTATCCCCTGAGAGTGGACCAGGTGAAGCCGAGATCCAACCATCAGCTTCTTTCTCCCCTGCTAAGTCAGATACAGGCAGAACTTACCGAATGAGTCAAGTGTAGTTGTTATATATTGGTATGTGTCGAAAATTATCATTTAAAGTTTTTGCACTTCACAGATTTGTTGTCTGTTTCAAATTAATTTTAAGTTATATCATTTGTAAATAATGAGGTGTTCCTTCTACAGAAAGTAAACAGAACTATTCACTCCTGTAGTTGTTTGTTGTGTGTCAAGTAAACTGCTTTCAAAAGTTACACTTTACTTTGTCTCGGGTAGGTAAACCTGAACACATTAAAACATAACCAGTTCACTCTCACGAAAAGCCGAGATCAAAACCATGATGCATTTAGCTATATATCTAAGTGTCTTAGGCAATATGTTACAATTCTATAATAATTCTGTCAACATATTTTGTATAACGTTACGATGGTAAAACAGCATTAACAGCAGGGTCGGAGTAAGCTCAGCTACAGGTACAATGTTTACCAAATGATTTATTAGCATTTTGTTTAAAAATGCATTATCAGTGTTGTTTTTTTATTGTTCAATTTCAATGTTCTTCCCATTCCTACAACTTCAGATTCTGTACTAAAAGGCTTCCCGTCCACACAGTTCTATATGTTAAAAGGTATATCAGATCACATGTATGTTCGTGCACTAATAATTGGATGTCACTCTAGTAAAATATATGAACTGCAACCTCGGTGGGTGAAAACCTTATTCCATTAGATTCTGTCTTAAAAGTACGCATATTCCATGACGTACGACTTGCATGCGTATTTTTTGTTAAGGGGGTGTTCGATTACTTCAGGATTATACCGGTAATGATGTTAAGAAGGGCCATTTTCTAACCATATCCAGAAAAATTGACATTCTAACACCTTTTCATTTGAATTTTTCATATTAAATCCAGATATCACTCACCGCTTTGTTGAGATTTTTAGGGCTACAAAACACATCCTCACACACACACACGCTAATTTTACAGGAATGTTGGATTTCATGTAAATAATCATACCATAGAGAAACCATTTCAAACCAGAATATTTACAATTTTTCAGTATTGCCACTAAACATACGACGTAACCGGAAAGAAATGTGACTCAGATACCATAAATGACATTCAGCGCGTCACTTAGATACCATAAATGACATTCAGCGCGTGACTTAGATACCATAAATGACATTCATCGCGTGACTTAGATACCATTAATGACATTCAGCGCGTGACTTAGATACCATAAATGACATTCATCGCGTGACTTAGATACCATAAATGACATTCTGCGTGTGACTTAGATACCCTAAATGACATTCTGCGTGTGACTTAGATACTATAAATGACATTCAGCGTTTCACTTAGATACCATAAATGACATTCATCGCGTGACTTAGATACAATAAATGACATTCAGCTTGTGACTCAGATACCATAAATGACATTCAGTGCGTGACTTAGTTACCATAAATGACATCCATCGCGTGACTTAGATACCATAAATGACATTCAGTGCGTGACTTAGATACCATAAATTAATTTCATATGAAATTAAGACAAAATTACAAAACAGTTGATCACATAAATTACAGTGAAATTGTGGGAGAAAAATATCAAAGAAAGGCAAACATTTTGTGGTGTCATTTCCAATTATTATGTAATTAATTACCTGATTTATGACTTCACTGTCGATTTTCTGACTGGTGCGTTCCATGAGAAACGCCCAGGGTATATCACACGGGTAGAAAAAAAATACCAACATGTCAGCATAATTATAACCCAAACTCAAATTCAATAAAACTAGGACAAAACATGAACAACACAAAGATTTACATGGAGACTTCTAAAACAAGTACAAGAAGAATAAGATCAGGTGTTCTGGAAGAATTTTAAGCGTCTTCTGCTATATATCATGTTCCAATAGACTATTCAAATACTTATAGAAATTATCGCTCTTGGCTGACTTGCTTTCATCCCTAAATACATTGAAGAGGTCCTGTAGGATACTGTTCCATCCGGTCATCAGGTCTCTGAAATAGTGTAAAAAGGTTGTAGTTTTATAGTTACAGGGACAGAGAAGTCACACTAAAGACAGGCATAGGTATACAGACACTACACTGTATCTGTAATTTCATTTGAGAATACAGACAGATCAGGCTAACTTTGTGCGGAACTTTGTGACTATGGAGGAAAATAAGGACCATAATTTCAACCCAGGGACCAAACAACTGTCTAAACATTAGAAGCACCCTGGTTCACTACAACAAAAAAGGCAAAGACTGTTCCATCAGCTGTGAAGGTTATGATCTCGGTTTTCATGGATGGTGATGGTATTATGATAGTAAATCATCGGCAAAAAGAACAAACAATCAATGGCACATATAATGCATCACCTCTTAGGCAGTTAAGAGAAAATATTGAACTCAAGCGCCGCGGAAAACTCATTAAATGTGAGTGTTTCACCAGAACAATGCCCCTGTTTACAAGTCTTACATTGCCTTGGTTGCCATTAACAATTTGGCTTTGAATTGATTGAGCATCCACATTATTCGCATTATCTCGCTCCATCAGACTTTCATCTATTTCTAAAATTGAAAAAAAAAATTCCGGTATCCACTCCAGTCAGATGATGACGTCACAAATGCAGTGGAGGACATTCGGAACGGTCAAGAAAATTACTTCTTTAAAAGTGGCATTGAGTTCCATAAGCATTGCTGGAAAAGTGTATATATACTGGAGGGGAATTATGTTGAAAAAATGCCTTATGTCCACCAAAAGTAAAATGAGGCTCAAAACTTATCAATCAGCCCTCGTACCAGATTATAAGTTAGGAACTAGAGCTCGTAGTGAACTGGTGTGATTTGGACAATTCAAGACACTACTCACTGTTTATACTGTACATCTTTCATTTATTCTCTCGAACTTTATTTATGTGATATAACGTGGCGAAACGGACAGATATGTAAATGCACATAAAACCCACTGGCACACACGCAGAACACGCGGCCATGTTTATTTGAATAACCTATGCTTATTGCGTCACTGCTTAAAGCCCCAATATACGTAACATTCACCAAAAATTAAGTGTAGAATCACACATAATTATTGAGATATTCTCTAAGATGTAGTTAAAATTAAGTTATTCAAACCATAGTTACCATGACTTTGTGCATAAAGTATTGATATATGAGCAGTTGAAACTCGCTATTTGTAAACACACCTCCATTTTAAACACACCGCCATCGAAATTACGATTGTTGCCGAACCACTTCGGAAAGTTCATGACCTGATCTCGCGAGAGTTGAGGTTTCTACTTATAGAGGAAGCACATGCAGATATATCTACGGTAAGTTTTTGTTTACAAACATTGTTTGCGAAGACTTGAGGTATTCCTGTCATAAACATTCAGTTGTTGGGAAATTATTAGAAGGAATAATTAGTTCAGAAACGATACGACGCACAATTATAACGTAAGAATTCAGAATTGGCCTGATGTATGATTGGAAAAAAAGGAAGCGACTGATGAACGTCTGTACTGTGTCTGCCATGTTTACACACGCGGAATATGCGCATGCGCAATGTCATCGCTACGAGCGGTAATGTATGAATTATTGTGGGTCCCACATTGTTTTTTTCCGATTTTTTCAATTTTTATTTAAATTGAAAACTGTCAGTTTTATTTTCTTTAATTAAAGGAAAGTATCTGTTTTGTTACATATATTACGGGGAAAATAAGATACAGTTTGTTTTTTATAGTGATTTTTACGTATATTGGGGCTTTAAATGTTTTAAGTATATATGTTCTATCCACCAGGTCAAATTTCTTATATGTATAGCTTTTAATAACTCTACATAATAGCTCAGTAGATCTATATTGACTTTTGATTCATGTTAATGTTGTCCTTGTTCAGACAACAATAAACAGCAACAGTTTTTTTAACAAGCCTTGCGACCATATACAACTTACATTCAATCAGCTTAGAAAAATCCATCCAGTTCTTCTCATGAAATAGTGATAGCAAATTTTTCATTGTTAAAAGTATGTGAGCTATTAGCTTTTCTGGACTTCGTCAACGAGTTAAATATTTTGGGTCACGAATATCCAATGGTACTTTTCACTCCAAACTACGTGGTTGGCATTTCCCCTTGGTGTCTGTTTGCGGTATAGTTTAGTCTGCGGGCTTATTAATGTCACCTCGGTTATCGCCCGTTATTTTCTGTTTACTTCGAGTCACGAGTCTTTGACAGATTAGGAAAGCGTTACACTTCCAGTGTAGGGTTTTACAAATGCAACATTTACTGGCGAAACCAACGAGTTTTTTTACTCTTCTTTGTTTTGTTCTAATTAATTTTAGTAAAATTAACAATATGATGACCGGAGGGCTCGGCGAAGAAAAACCGGCTAATGGAGAAATACAAGAAATCGTCGATAACGTAAGCTTGAACATGTTCATATTGTCATAAAGTTACACTGTATTTATATATGTACGTATACCTGCACTGTTGTCCAGACAGGACGATCTATTTTAGTCACACTCATTCCTGTTCTGTTCATTGCGTATGCTGGTCTAGAGGTCTTGCCTCGTGTTGGAGAAGCGTCCAGTTCAGCATAGTGCAACGCAACGTTTTGTGTGTTTGCAAACGTGAGTGAAGTGGCAAATGTTTTTTTTTTTTCGTGATTAGTGCTCCTTTATTGGGCTGTCAGAGCCTGACTGTTCGCACGTGTAGACGTGTTTTTGACACTCTAGCAGCTCGGGGGCAAGTTGTTTCGGTAACAGGTTGTATGGGTACTTCCAAAATAAGCCGTTTCGGTACTTTTTAAAATGTTGTGATTTATGTATTTGATTTGTTTTTTACGGTGTTTTGTCATTTATAAATATTGCTGCCGTGTAAACCATTTTGTAAGTACTGACACACTGTTGTAAGTACTGAAAACAACTGGGTATACTTGGTACCAAAATGACCAGAATTCTAGAGAGCTTCTGTCCTATTCATGTTTATAACAACTTGTAAGTGTGAAACCCTATTGTTGAATGCAGCTTTTAAAGTACACACAATAGTATTCTCAACTTTCATATTTGGGGTTTATATCTATCAAAGGCATGAGCTCACTATGCTAGTCCCAATCAAATATTTGTTGACAATGCTACATGTATTTGTCACAATATATATGGTCTCACAAATCAACAAAAATGACTGAGTCTATCCAGACATTTGTTTGTGAACATTGATATATTTAGAAGTAACCACAACTGATAAACTAAACATTCCATACTAATACCATGATCATTTTTCCTGCTGTTGCAGACAAAAAATCTGTCTCTAAAATGGTTATCTGATGACAATGATCACATTTATTATGGTTTTATCAATATCTTCATTTTCTGACTATGCTCATTGTTAGTAAAATTATAAATATCGATAACAACATATTCAATGTGAATTTTGACATTAAATTATCATTTTAGAGACAAAAAATTTCTGTCTGTTGCTGCCAGCTCTCAGTTAAGCCAGTTAACACCAACACTAAATGGTAGACTTACCAAAATGTTGCTAATATCATAAATATATAATTATGAAGAAAAGGGTAGTTGCAATCAAAGTGGTCTTAAACATAAAGGAATTAGGGTCCATTGTTATTTTTGAAACTTACTGTAAATTTGGTTGTTTTATAAAAAATAATGAGGGCGAACACCAGGTCCGGTTCCAGATGTTTATTAGGTTAAACTCTAAAGACCCCCAACAATGGGTCAAGGGTCCTAAAGTAACATAGGGCTCATTATGATCGTAGACAAATGACTGATATCATTGGGATCGTAGATGATTAAATTTACGGGACAAGGTGTTCATAATCTGGACGGAGGTTTCAATCGTCCGTAATGGTCAATGTCCCCTTTGTCCACTGAAAACCCGCCAAATACAGACAAAGACCAAAGAACGAAAACGAGACAATAACTGGACATACGTAGACACACTACATCACACGGGCAAACTAAACATATAGACGCAACATATATACATACATTTATAACGATCACAGACGACGCGGAAATCCAAACGGCGCGGCGCTAGACAACGGCGGCCAAAATTACCTAAAACTTAACCCTATTACATTACTTCTATACATTGTAACCCCCTTTACTCTGAATGACTTGTGTTTCACCACATGACTCTGCGCCAATCATGAAATGTGATACCCGTCTTCTAAAGGTGATATTGCTGGGATGATAGTGAAAATAAGGCATAATGCAAGTTACCCAAAAACTCGTATGCACCTTCTAGTAATTACATTGTACATCCAACTAACATATCTACAATAATTCGTAATTATTGTTATGATTGCATGATTTAGTGGTTTTTATTTGATTTCCAGTTGAAGGATGATGTAAAGGCAATATGTAACCAGGAGTTTGAACGTTTCATTGCAGTCAGTTACAAAAGTCAGGTGGTAGCTGGAGTGAATTACTTCATAAAGGTACTAATGGATACTTACAATTATACTGAGATGGTGTAATCTGATGACATTTGTCTTGGTATAATTATCTGAAATTTTTTGAGATGACAAGTCCATTAAGCCTTTTCATTTCAAACAATTTACCAGTATTTATACTACAACTGTAGCAAAATAATTTGTTTAAGAAAAACAAAACATTTAAAACTAATTGCAGCTTTGGATTCAGTTAACAATGCCTTATACTGTAAAACATATCACATGCACATAAAAGTTGATTAAACAGAACATTATTTAAACCATATGATAAAATAAAACTCATTTCTTGATATGTTATTATATGTGAGGCTGATCATTTTCCCTCTTAGGGGATTATTATACTGCCCCGCCCCCCTGCTATCACTTTGTAAAGGGGAGGGGATGGGTTGGTATGTATAATTACTTTGGGTCTTTGTCATGGACAGCTAGACAGATTTTGGTCATATTCACAACATTTTGTCTGGCCATCAACTCCTATACTTAGATGGATTTTGGTGCTCATTGGTGAAGCATAAATGTCAGAGTTCACTCTTGATCACATTTGAAATAAAAATATTGTGTATGAGCTCTCATGAACCTCAGCATACATTTTGACAGTTATGGGTCAAGGTTAAAAGGTTAAAGATTGCCTTTGACTGCTTTTGAAATGATAACCTGAAGAACATGACGCCTCATAAACCCCTCAATACTTTTAATTGAAAGGAAAAAGATCAAGAGTTGAGAGGTATATAGTCTCTGCTCATTTTGTTTTCATCAGAAAATACTTTCATTTGGGTTTCCTTCATATGTAGACATTACCCTGATGAGAGACCTACATTGAGATTTTGGTCTCTACATCAACTTTTTACACTGGCCTTAGATAACAAATTCACACAGTAATCTGTTTCTGCTAACAATATGTACTGTTTTTGTTATCAGGTGTGTTAAGCATATCTGGATTACACCACTTGGAAATCTCACGAGATATTTACCATGTATTGTATGTACACTTGCAGTTTCCTTGGTGACAATTTGTTTGTACAGTTACATATTTACCACCTAACAGGTTGATGTAGGAGATGAGCATTACATCCACATCAGAGTATACAAACCGTTGCCTCACACAGGACAGGAAGAGGAACTTGCTGCCTGTCAGGATGGCAAAAGCAAAGATGATGACATCACATACTTCTAATGAAATGGTGTCATTTATCATTTAAAGCAGATATAACACTCTCTATGAAACTTATGATTTACATATATGTTAAAAGCTTTTGATTTATGTTTAGAACTTATAGTTTATTTAATTCAGTTTTGCAATAATGATTCCTTCTCTTTACATTATTCAAACTGTAATTTTTATATATTTTTTTTAAAGATTTCTTGCAGATTGTGTTCAAATAATATATGATTTAATTTACTTTGCATGAATGTTATCTGATTTAAACTTAGAGTGAAGAAATATGTTTAAAGTCAAAGTGACAGCTGATAGCTTGCTGCCATGGCTATCAGCTGTTCAGTACTAACTTTACACTATCAAATGGTTGCGTTTGTTCTTCAGATCTGTTTAACTGTCTAGATAATGTATGGTGATTTGTAATACCATTAAAGTCCACACTGGAAGGAAATTCTTATTCCAAAACTAGTTATATTTAATATGCATTGCCAAATTTCAAATATGAATAACTTAGTTTTGAATATAAGTCATTAGTTATAGTATACATCACAACATAGTCAGATAGTACAATGTGTGGTATGTCATGTCATTGGACCCAATATGCATGTACATGTAGATTGAAACATTATTTGAAAATTCTGAGATTTCCTTCCAAAAATAGTAAATGACCATTGTTTGAAAAGGTTGTTTACATCTTCTTGTTTTGTCTTTCTCAGATTTAAGCAACTTTTCAAACAAGTGCCTTTTTATGCTTGATATTTATGTATATTTCTATCCATTTAGCAGAACAAAAGATTCTGTAATTAAATAACAGCTTAGCTCCATATTTGTCTTCGGTGGTTTGTTTATTTTATCTTAATTGGTTTTATACCAATGACTGAGGCATTTCAGTCTTTCAACGAACGAGGGTGGGTTTGTACAATGGGAGACAACTCCAGAGTTTTTTTTTTATTAAGTTTTATCTTCAGGGTCCATTGCTTTTGTTGTATAAAGTATCTGATTCATCACGTTTATTGATAGGTAAACAGATTTAGGTAAGACTTTCGCTGTTGATAAATGAAACTTTTTGTTTAATATAATCATTTGTTTTCACAATTTTGAAATTGATGAATTTAGTACAGGTAGGCGTTCTTTATGGAATCGTTCTCCAGATGGTTGTTCTCAGTTAGGTCCCAGTTTTCGATTATACAGGTTTACTGTTCTGATACATCATATGTTGATCATTTGTTCTGTACTCTTCTTTATCACTGTATGATATTTCAGTTGTAGATATTAGTAAGTAAATGTCAAGGAATTCAAATCACTTTATACAAGGATGTGCATGCAAGGATTTTCAAACTGTACATGTTGTTAGAAGTATAGATACATGTGTACTTGAGTTATGGTTGGACTTGATTGATGCATGCACCATAAATGGTGGGTATTTTGACCATACAAATATTATCATGTCTTTGATATATATATATATATATACATATGCTTTAGTTATGTATGTATCTAGAAGGTTGAAGATTAGGGTATACTGTGTTTAAAAAATTAATTTAACAGTAGTTCTGTTACTTTGGAGCTGAAAATAAAATTGTTTCTTTGCGTTATCAAGCTTTTTGCGTGTTTGTTTGTTTCAAGGTTACATACATCATTTCCTCTCCTGGTCTAAAGATCTGTTCTCCAAACTTTCTGTGCACATGTGACCAAATTTGTATTGAGCATCCCTACATTGTATAACATAGTTATTCATTGTAAAGATCAATAATTCTAGTTCCTCATTGTTTGCTTAATGCCATGTTTTAATTCATTCAAATAGTGACATAGGTCCGAATACACATAAATACACCTGATGTTCCTTCTTAATCACAAAATACTGAAAACCATGAAGTTATTAAATTGTGGGTAAGTGATGACACCATCAGGTTTTTAACATTAAATTGTTGGGTAAATGACAACACCATCTGGTTTTTGACATTGAATTGTGTGGTAAGTGACCATTCTGTCTAGTTTGTGACATTGAATTGTTGGGTAAGTGACCACCCCATCTAGATTTTTCATTAAATTGTTGGGTAAATGACAACACCATCTAGTTTTTCATTAAATTGTTGGGAAAATGACAACGCCATCTGGTTTTTTCATTAAATTGTTGGGAAAATGACAACGCCATCTGGTTTTTGACATTGAATTGTGTGGTAAGTGACCACCCCGTCTATTTTTTTCATTAAATTGTTTGGTAAATGACAACACCATCTGGTTTTTCATTAAATTGTTGGGAAAATGACGCCACCATCTAGTTTTTTCATTAAATTGTTGGGAAAATGACAACGCCATCTGGTTTTTTCATTAAATTGTTGGGAAAATGACAACACCATCTGGTTTTTGACATTGAATTGTGTGGTAAGTGACCACCCCGTCTATTTTTTTCATTAAATTGTTTGGTAAGTGACAACACCATTTGGTTTTTCATTAAATTGTTGGGAAAATGACAACACCATCTAGTTTTTTCATTAAATTGTTGGGAAAATGACAACGCCATCTGGTTTTTTCATTAAATTGTTGGGAAAATGACAACACCATCTGGTTTTTGACATTGAATTGTGTGGTAAGTGACCACCCCGTCTATTTTTTTCATTAAATTGTTTGGTAAATGACAACACCATCTGGTTTTTGACATAGAATTGTGTGGTAAGTGACCACCCCATCTGTTTTTTTTTTCTCATTAAATTGTTGGGTGACAACACCATCTGGTTTGTGACATTGAATTGTTGGGAAGTGACCACCCCATCTGTTTTTTTTCCATTAAATTGTTGGGTAAGTGACCACCACGTCTAGTTTTTGACATTGAATTCTGAGTCAGTGACCACCTCGTCTGGTTTTTTACTTTGAATTGAGGGTAAGTGACCACCCCTTCTGGTTTGTGACATAGAATTGTGTGGTAAGTGACCACCCCGTCTGGTTTGTGACATAGAATTGTGTGGTAAGTGACAACTTAATCTGGTTTCTGACATTGAATTCTGAGTCAGTGACAACACCATCTGGTTTGTGACATTGAATTGTGTGATAAGTGACCACCTCGTCTGGTTTGTGACATGGAATTCTGAGTCAGTGACAACACCATCTGGTTTGTGACATTGAATTTTGTGGTAAGTGACAACCCCGTCTGGTTTGTGACATCCCCGTCTAGTTTTTTCATTAAATTGTTGGGTAAATGACAACACCATCTAGTTTTTTCATTAAATTGTTGGGAAAATGACAACACCATCTAGTTTTTTCATTAAATTGTTGGGTAAATGACAACACCATCTAGTTTTTTCATTAAATTGTTGGGTAAATGACAACACCATCTAGTTTTTGACATAGAATTGTGTGGTAAGTGACCACCCCATCTAGTTTTTTCATTAAATTGTTGGGTAAGTGACAACACCATCTGGTTTGTGACATTGAATTGTGTGATAAGTGACCACCCTGTCTGGTTTGTGACATGGAATTCTGAGTCAGTGACAACACCATCTGGTTTGTGACATTGAATTTTGTGGTAAGTGACAACCCCGTATGGTTTGTGACATCCCCGTCTAGTTTTTTCATTAAATTGTTGGGTAAATGACAACACCATCTAGTTTTTTCATTAAATTGTTGGGAAAATGACAACACCATCTAGTTTTTGACTTTGAATTGTGTGGTAAGTGACCACCCCATCTAGTTTTTTCATTAAATTGTTGGGTAAGTGACAACACCATCTGGTTTTTGACATTGAATTGTGTGGTAAGTGACCACCCCATCTAGTTTTTTCATTAAATTGTTTGGTAAGTGACAACACCATCTGGTTTTTGACATTGAATTGTGTGGTAAGTGACCACCCCATCTGTTTTTTTTTCTCATTAAATTGTTGGGTGACAACACCATCTGGTTTGTGACATTGGATTTTTTGGAAGTGACCACCCCATCTGTTTTTTTCCATTAAATTGTTGGGTAAGTGACCACCACATCTGGTTTTTGACATTGAATTCTGACTCAGTGACCACCTCGTCTGGTTTTTTACTTTGAATTGAGGGTAAATGACCATCCCTTCTGGTTGTGACATAGAATTGTGTGGTAAGTGACCACCCCGTCTGGTTTGTGACATAGAATTGTGTGTTAAGGGACCACCCCGTCTGGTTTTTGACATTGAATTGTGCGGTAAGTGACCATCCCGTCTGGTTTTTGACATTGAATTGTGCGGTAAGTGACCATCCCGTCTGGTTTTTGACATAGAATTGTGCGGTAAGAGACCATCCCGTCTGGTTTTTGACATTGAATTGTGTGGTAAGTGATAACTTCATCTGGTTTTTGACATAGAATTGTGCGGTAAGAGACCATCCCGTCTGGTTTTTGACATAGAATTGTGCGGTAAGTGACCATCCCGTCTGGTTTTTGACATTGAATTGTGTGGTAAGTGACCATCCCGTCTGGTTTTTGACATTGAATTGTGCGGTAAGAGACCATCCCGTCTGGTTTTTGACATTGAATTGTGCGGTAAGAGACCATCCCGTCTGGTTTTTGACATTGAATTGTGTAGTAAGTGACCATCCCGTCTGGTTTTTGACATTGAATTGTGCGGTAAGAGACCATCCCGTCTGGTTTTTGACATTGAATTGTGTAGTAAGTGACCATCCCGTCTGGTTTTTGACATTGAATTGTGCCCATCCCGTCTGGTTTTTGACATTGAATTGTGTAGTAAGTGACCATCCCGTCTGGTTTTTGACATTGAATTGTGCGGTAAGAGACCATCCCGTCTGGTTTTTGACATTGAATTGTGTGGTAAGTGACCATCCCGTCTGGTTTTTGACATTGAATTGTGCGGTAAGAGACCATCCCGTCTGGTTTTTGACATTGAATTGTGTAGTAAGTGACCATCCCGTCTGGTTTTTGACATTGAATTGTGTAGTAAGTGACCATCCCGTCTGGTTTTTGACATATAATTGTGCGGTAAGAGACCATCCCGTCTGGTTTTTGACATTGAATTGTGTGGTAAGTGATAACTTCATCTGGTTTCTGACATTGAATTCTGAGTCAGTGACCACCCCATCTGGTTTGTGACATGGAATTCTGAGTCAGTGACAACACCATCTGGTTTGTAACATTGAATAGTGTGGTAAGTGACAACCCCGTCTGGTTTGTGACATAGAATTGTGTGGTAAGGGACCACCCCGTCTAGTTTGTGACATTGAATTGTGTGATAAGTGATAACTTCAACATTGAATTCTGTAGTGACCACCCCATCTGGTTTGTGACATGGAATTCTGAGTCAGTGACAACACCATCTGGTTTGTAACATTGAATAGTGTGGTAAGTGACAACCCCGTCTAGTTTGTGACATTGAATTGTGTGATAAGTGACCACCCCATCTGATATTGATTTTGATTGGTGGTGTAAGACTTAAACATCTGGTTTTTAACATTGAATTCGACCAATTTGCAGTGACATCAACATACAAACTGTAGGCCCTTGAGATCGCCGACATGTTCTAGAAGGACGATACAGCCGTATAAATTAGTTTTTACGTTGTTTGGTTCTGCTGTGTCTACTTTTAATGAAAAGTGACGTTGTGTGTCTGATATACAATCTTTGACAATTGTAGTACCCCTAATGTAACTACCGAGAACTTGTAACCAGTAGGAGTTCGGAATGAATTTGAGCTCTATTATCATAAAGCTAGTAACGAGTTTCGACCAGTCTTTATCATTTACGTTTACCACGATACATCTTTACTGTATGTAACATGAAGGAGATTTTTACTAATAGCAATGATATCAAGTTAGTGTAAACACTTATTCCGGTGTATGAACTTGGTTAGGCGTTGATATCACACCTTTCCAGTGTCAAAATGGCTCCAATACATCAAACCTGACAGAGTAATATGTAATCGTGATGACATTGAGGTATTTGGCCTACTTCCGAGCACTTTATACACGTTGCTATATATCGGCACACATTCTACACAGAATTGTTTGAAAGTCACAGATAAATAAACAGATTGTCTGTAGCATCAATGTAATAAAAGTCAAATATTTCTCTTTATTTCTTAATATAATCTTAAGATACATACTCTACAGCATGCAAATAAGGTCCACAATAGCTTAATTCTCGTCTGCAAACATCCGTGCGACGGGCCTCACCTTTGATGTTCGGTGAGGTAGCCGCCAGCTGCTACAACTAAACTATGCACTCCTCGGCTATTTACAAGGCAATAAACAACACAAACATGCCTGCAAAACCCTTGATTGCAAAACACCATATTAGCCGTGCGAAGAAGTCAAAATGTGACAAGATCGAGTCTGATACGAGGTCTCATTTTGAGAACAATTTGTATAACTGTTGTCGTCAATAAAGCAGAAGACATCTAACCTTCCATAAAAAGGGCTCCGAGTGAATGTTTCTTTACTTTGTGTTTAATCTTCGTTTCTATCGTTCGAATATTGTCACCAATGAGATACGCAATTTTTGGACTTCACCTGGAAGTGGCGGGTGACAAGGAAGACACCAGCGTGACCACCGAGATAAGAAACATGAGCATAGTAATTGTGAACTCTAGCCAAGACAGACGTCAACGATAATACAA